TCATTAACACTCACAGAGTGGTTAATATCTAAAATAGTCAAAATAATTTATTAAAATATGTCAGAAAAATGCTAAGTCTGCAATAGAGTTATGAGAATAGGTGAATGGGTAATTTATACAAAAGAAAACAAAAATAATGAACACATGAGGGAAATGTTCAACCTTGGTATTAACAATCAGATAAATTGAAATTAATGCAAAAGTTATTACAATACCATTTTTACTATCAAATACTCGAGACATATACAAATATATGGAATACCATAATGAATGCTTTATGTACTCACACCTTGCTTATGAAGTCATCCCACATCACCCAATTTTTTTCACAATAAAACAATACCAAATAATGGTAAAATTATTACATTATATACCATTGGTGGTATTGTAAAATTGGCAGTACTGTTTTATAAAGCAGTATGGGAACACATGTCAATAGCCTTAAAAATATACATACTTTTTTGCCTGAAAGTTCTTCTCAAGGAAATTATTCATCAGAAGAAAAACATTTAGACAAAAAAGTATTCTATTAATATTGTGATAAGAAATTAGAAATGACCTAAATGTCTAACACTTTAGAAATAGTTAACTAAGTAATGGTATACCAACTCAATGTTTGTTTGTTCTTTTTTTGAAATGGAGTTTTGCCCTATTACCCAGGCTGGATTGCAGTGGCATGATCTCAACTCACTGCAACCTCTGCCTCCCAGTTTCAAGCAATTTTCCTGCCCCAGCCTCCTGAGGCTGGGATTACAGGTGCCCATCACCACACCTGGCTAATTTTTGTATTTTTAGTAGAGATGGGGTTTCACCATGTTGGCCAGGCTGGTCTCGAACTCCTGACCTCAGGTAATCCACCCACCTTGGCCTCCCAAAGTGCTGGGATTCCAGGGGTGAGCCACCATGACCGGCCCCAACTCTATTTTTAATCATAGAACCATTTAAATTGAAATTTTGAATATTGCATAGCAAAATGGTTTTCTTGTGGTAAAATACACAAAACATAAAATGTACCATTTTACTCATTTTTAAGTATACAGTTCTGTGTCACTAAGTACATTCACACTGTTGTACAACCATCACTACCACCACCATACATCTCCAGAACTTTTTCATCTGGAACTCTATTCATTAAACAACAACTCCCCATTTCCCCCTCCCCACAGCCCCTGGCAACCACCATTTTCCTTTCTGTCTCTGAATTTGACCACTCTAGGTACCTCATATAAGTGGAATCATACAATATTTGTTCTTTTGTGTCTGGCTTATTTCACTTAGCATAATTTCTTCAAGACTCATTCATGTATAGCATGTGCCAGAATTTTATTCCTTTTTAAGACTGAATAATATTCCCTTGTATGTATTTACCACATTTTGTTTATCTATTTTTCTGTCAATTGGCATTTGGGTTGTTTCTACCTTTTGGCTATTGTGAGCAGTAATGCTGTGAACATTGGCATACATATCTGTTTGAGTCCCTGCTTTTAATTCTTTTGGGTCTATACCCAGAAGTTGGAATTGCTAGATCATATAGAATTATAGGTTTGCTTTTTTGAGAAATTGCCATATTGTTCACAATGGCTTCACCATTTTATGCATTTTATGTTCCTATCAACAATGCACAAGGGTTCCAATTTCTCCACATACTCACCAACACTTGTCATTTTCTGTTTTTTTGATAATAGGTATCCCAATGGGTATGAGGTGGTATCTCATTGAAGTTATGATTTGTCTTTCCTTAATGATTAGTGATGTTGAGCATCTCTTCATTTGCTTATTGGCCTTCTAAATATCTTCTTTAGAGAGTTGATCATTTGATGATTCCTTTGCCCATTAAAAAAATCGGTGGTTTGTTTTATTGTTGTTGAATTGTAGGAGTTCTTTATATGCTCTAGATATTAATCCCTTTTTGGATATGTGATTTGCAAATAATTTTTCTCATTTCATGAATTGCCTTTTCATTCTGTTGGTAGTGTCCTTTGATGCACAAAAGTTTTTAATTTTGATGAATTCCAATTTGATTGTTGCTTGTGCTTTTGTTGTCATATCCAAGAAACCATTGCCAGATCCAGCGTCAGCTTTCCCCATATGTTTTCTTCTCAGAGTTTTATAATTTTAGCATGTTTAGGTCTTCAGTTTATTTTGAGTTAATTTTTATGTATTGCGTAAGATAAGAGCCCAAATTTATTCTTTTGCAGATGGATATTCAGTTTCCTCAGCCTCATTTGTTGAAAAGACTGTCCTTGCCTTCATTGAATGATCTTGGCACCGTTGTTGAAAATCATTTGACCATATATGCAAGGATTTATTTCTGGGCTAACCATTCTATTCTACTGTTCTATATGTCTGTTTTCATGCTAGTACCACACCATTTTGATTACTGTATCTTTGTAGTAACTTTTGAAATTAGAAAGTATGAGTCCTCTAGCTTTATTGTTTTTCAACAGCAAAATATTTTGGATATGAAATTAAATTTTAAAAGCAGAACATAAAGCGGTGTTTATTAAAATGTAAAAAATAGGTTTCTGCGTAAGGTCTGTATTAGAAAGGATTACATGAAAATCTAAGTAGGGCGTTAGAATTATAGAGATTTTTAAATTTTTAAATGTGTTATTTTAAATGTATCAAAATATAAAATATGAAAATAATTACGACATAAAATAGAAAAATGAGATGTAAGTATGTTAGGATAATTTAGCCTTCTTTTAAAAATGTGAGCATGAACATGAAACCAATCTCAATGTAAATTATTTTTGCCTTTGCAGTGCCATAACAAATCTTTCTATAATGAATTAGAAAACATTTATGATGTTATTGTTATAGAGCTAGCATATACCTTTTCAGTAGTTATCAATATTATTAAAGCCTTGAACTGATTATCTAAATATTCTTACTTACATTTCAGGCAGGCAAGCCTACTAATAAAAAAGTGAAAAGCATTTTTGCACATAGCTATGGTAATGACACAATTTCTTGTAACTTCAGTAAAGAATCTTCTACTTTGTGTCCAAGCATTTTCAAGTTTTATTCTTTTCTTTTTTGAGACAGAGTCTTGCTCTGTCTCTCAGGCTGGATGGAGTGTAGTGGCACGATCTCGGCTCACTGCAAGCTCAATCTCCCGGGTTCAAGTGATTCTCCTGCCTCAGCTTCAGTGTAGCTGGGATTACAGGTGTGCACCACCACGCCTGACTATTTTTGTATTTTTAGTAGAAACAGGGTTTCGCCAATGTTAGCCAGTCTGGTCTTGAACTTCTGACCTCCAGTGATCCACCCGTCTCGGCCTCCCAAAGTGTTGGGGTTACAGGTGTGAGCCACTGTGGCTAGCCAGGTTTTACTCATTTCTAGTTATGAGATCCCATATATTAATTCAGACAAGAAGGAATTTGGCTTGACCAAGAAATGGTAAAGCCAGTATAGAAAAGTCTTTCTCAAAAGTGATACTTTATATTCATCAGCATTGTTCTGTTGTGAACCTTTTTTTTTTTTTTTGAGACAGAGTCTCCCTCTGTCATCCAGGCTGGAGTGCAGTGGCATGATCTCTGCTCACTGCAACCTCTGCCTCCCCAGTTCAAGTGATTCTCCTGCCTCAGCCTCCTGAGTAGCTGGGACTACAGGCGTGTGCCACTATGCCCAGCTAATTTTTGTATTTTAGTAAAGACAGGGTTTCACCATGTTGGCCAGGCTGGTCTTGAACTCCTGACCTCATGATCTGCCTGCCTCGGCCTCCCAAAGTGCTGAGATTACAGGTGTGAGCCACTGCACCCGGCCAGCTGTGAAACATTTATTCAGCATGCTTCTAGTTATCTACACTTGAAACAATTATTTTGCTTTTACATTTAAAGTCATTTTTTCTTTCAATATATTTATTTTAGCAATCCTTAATTCTTCCTTCTTAACATGCTCCTAGCACTAATCTATCTCTATTACAGCAACATATTTATTTATTACTTTTCTTCAATACTTCATTTTTCTTTTTCTTTTTTTTTTATTTTTGAAACAGAGTCTTGTCCTGTTGTCCATGCTGGAGTGCAATGGCATGATCTCAGCTCACTGCAACCTCTGCCTCCCCAGTTCAAGTGATTCTCCTGCCTCAGCCTCCTGAGTAGCTGGAATTACATGCACCCAGCATCATGCCCAACTAAATTTTGTATTTTTAGTAGAGACAGCGTTTCTCCCCATGTTGGCCAGGCTGGTCTTGAACTCCTGACCTCATGATCTGCCCACCTCAGCCTCCCAAAGTGCTGGGATTACAGATGTGAGCCACTGCACCCAGCCAATTTTATTTTTCTTGCCCTTCTTTACCTTATGTCTTTTCCTAACTTTTCATTATTGAAATGCTATCTATTCTTCATAATATAGTTCATCAGTTGCACACTCAGTTTACATCAGTCTCCCCACCCCAATCAGTTAGACAGTAAATATTTGTTGGGCCAATGTGTTAGGCACTATTTTAGTAACTTGAATAATAGTAAATTCTTTTGCATGTATAGTTATCTCTTTGTGTTAACCATATATTACTGCCAATTATAATTGGATTTTTTTGAGACGGAGTTTCGCTTTTGTTGCCCAAGCTGGAGTACAATGGCGCAATCTAGGCTCACTGCAACCTCTGCCTCCCAGGTTCACGTGATTCTCCTGCCTCAGCCTCCTGAGTAGCTGGGGTTACAGGCATGTGCCACCACGGCTGGCTAATTTTGTATTTTTAGTAGAGACGGGGTTTCTCCATGTTGTTCAGTCTGGTCTTGACCTCCTGACCTCAGGCGATCCGCCCACCTTGGCCTCCCAAAGTGCTGAGATTACAGGCGTGAGCCACCGTGCCCTGCCTATAATTGGATTTTGTTATGTTTGTTTTTTTACCTCCTAACTATGTTGCACATTCCTGGAGAGCAATGATTATATTTGACATTTCTTTTATATCCCCCTGCGTTTTCTCCTCATTACTATGCATACTGGAAACATTTAATAAATATTGTTTGAAATAATTTTTTCCTTCATTTCAGGACTGGCAATACATGCAATCAAAAGGTTGCTTTTTCTTAGAAGAAGATGGTGAAATCATTAGCCATCAGTACAGGATGCAAATAGCTCAGAGGTCCATGGTTTATCTAACAATTAAGCCATTAAATCTGAGTCAAGTTGAAGGCAAGTTTAAATTTTTTGTATATTTTTTAAATGTCAAGTTGTACCCTCTTTGAAAGTACTTATGTAAGTATTCCATAGTCCTAATTAGGAAAGAAAATAATCTGCCTAAGTGAGAAACATAATGGTTACATTTCAAGAAAGTGTTGGCCTATACGTGGCCTGTGTTAATCATATGAAAAGCAAGTAGATTGCTTTGTGTATATGTTTAAAGCATGTTTTATTAAAAACAATAACTTTTTCCAAACCTTTCTACAGCTAAGATAGAAGAAAATAAACAAAATGTTAACTGGTTTCCTCATGATATAGAACTAACTTTTTTTTTTTTTTTTTTCTTTTTTTTGAGACAGAGTCTCCCTCTGTTGCCTAGGCTGGAGTGCAGTGGCTCAATCTTGGCTCACTGCAACCTCTGCCTCCTGGATTCAAGTGATTATCCTGCCTCTGCCTCCCTGAGTAGCTGGGACTACAGGTGCACATCACCTCGCCCGCCTAATCTTTTTGTATTTTTAGTAGGGACGGGATTTCACCATGTTGGCCAATCTGGTCTCAAACTCCTGACCTCAGGTGATCCACCCACCTCGGCCTCTCAAAGGGCTGAGATTACAGGTTCAAGCCACTGTGCTCAGCCAGAACTAAGTTTTTATTTGCTAATTAATCTTAGCTTTTTCCATTTGTCAGTTTTTAAAATTAATATGTCAAAGAGAAGTTCTGCAGGGGCATAATTTGGAACATATGAAACTGCAAGTATTTTTAATACCTTCAAAATCCTTTGTGACTTAGACAATATTTATTAATAATCTTTGTATTAATGGTAATATTCTAGGTAAAAATTAATACTTTTCTAGTGTCTAAAATGGTTATGTAATTTTTAAGCAATGAAAGCTATCTATCTATAAGGGTGATTTCCCTAGATACCTTTTTTAATGTTGGTTGTTCTAAATCAATATTTATTTTTCTTTTATAATGTTTACATACAAGCATTTTCTTCCTAGAGGATTCCCCTCCCCATTCTCTTTCCCTCCTAAAGTAGAGATTTTGAAAGTTTTTACTGCATCTTTTGTGGGATATGTATAATATTTGGCAGATGATACTTTTAAATGACAATAACAATAGTTATTTTTCAGAGAGAGGAATCAAGATAGCCCTGCAAATTCAGTGTAGTTGTTAATTCTCTGTATTCTTATTAATAAGATTCATTCATTTATTTATCAAATAGCTATCAAGGGCATTATATGCTGGACATCAATTTAGGTGTTTAGGATACATTAGAGTTCAAAAAAGACAAAAATCCCTTCCCTCATCAACTTTCATTTTAGTGGGGGAAACAATACATAATAAACATAATAAATAGTAAATGACATGGTATGTAGGAAAGTGATAAGTGTTATGGGAAAATCAGAGGGAAAGGGGATAGTGAATGCTGAGGGAATGTGGGTTGCCATGGAGATGGAGTGGTTAGTATATGCTTCGTTAGGAAGCTGTCATATGGATAAAGATTTTGAAAGAGATGTATGAGTTACCAACTGCTACATAAAAAACTACCCCAGAACTCAGTGGCTTAAAACAATTAAACATTTGTTCACTCATGAATCAGTGGGTCTGTTAGTTCTTAGTCTTGGCCGGGCTTGTTTTTTCTCTGTAGGGGTTGCTCACACAGTTATGGTTAGTTATAGGTTAGCTGGTGGCTGGCTTTGCTAATCTTGGCTGGGTTCTCTCTCATGTATGAAGTCCCAGCTGGGATAACTTGACTCGGCTTCATATGATCTTTAATAATCCTTCAGTAAACTAGCCTGGACCTGTTCTCTTGGTATAACAGGGATCTGAAAACAAAACAAAACAAAACAAAACAAAAGTGGAAGCACAATAGAACCTCCTGAGGTCTGGGCTCAGAAGCAGCACAATGTTACTTCGTTATATTCTGTTGCTCACAGAAAGTCACAAGGCAAGTCCAGATTCATAGGCTGGGGAAATAGACTTGATCTCTTGATGGAAAAGCTGCGAAGCCACATTGCAAAGGGCTGTGGATACTGGGGGGAACAGCCATTTTTGCTGTCTTCCACAGAAGGCAAGGGAGTAAGCCTTGTGGGTGTATGGTGCTGGAAGGGATGGGTGAAGATGGAGGAGGTTGCAGAGCCTTCCAGGTAGAGAGAATGCTCTGTGCAGAGGCTCTGTGAGAGTGTACTGGTGTTAGAAGAACAGAGGCTAGAGTGTCTCAAATGAAATAAGTGAGGAGAGAGTTGTAGGAGATGAAACTGGGGAGAAACAAGGACAAAATCAGGAAGAGGTTTCTTTTTGCCATAATTAGGACTTGGGCTTTTAATCAGAGAAATGAGGTTTTCCCCTTCATTTTTTGTGAGATGTTTTTCCTCATATATAAGGTCAAGATTTTCTCTTAATCTTTCATTTTCAGCAGTTTGAATGTGTGTCTAGGTAGTTTTTGTTGTTGATGCTATTGCCTGGGTTTTTTGTTTTTTGGTATTTATCCTGCTTGGGGTTCTCTGAGCTTCTTGGATTTGTGGCTTGTTGCCTTTCATTATTTTTAGAAAATCCTCTGCCTTATTTCTTCAAATATTCCTTCTACCCCCTTCCTTCTTCCTCCACTTGTGTGGTACCTGACATCTCTTCCTTCTCTGCTCCACCACAGGGTCAGCCAGTGTTTGCATCTCATCTCTCCTGGGAAAGATCTGTCTTTCCTTGGATTTTAAGCTTATAGTTGCCCTGCAACCCCAGCTCTGATGGGATCAAGAAAAGTTATGATGTTGTAGTTCATTAACTTTTTCTTATTGTTAGGAAAGGAGCAATATTCTCCCAACTCTCTGCTCCATTAGAGAGTTTTGAGTAGAAGGCAGGACATAATCTGACTTATGTTTTAACAAGAGCGATTAGGTTACTGTATTGAAAGTAGATGGAAGGATATGCAGGTGAAAGTAAGGAATCCAGCTGGGACATTATTGTAGAATTCTAGAAGAGGACTGGGAATGCTTTGAACCAGGATATAGGTGGGAGAGGGGGTAGTAGAGATTCTGGGTATATTTTGAAGGCAGAACCATAGGATTTCCTAAGGATTGGTCTTGGTATGTGAGAGAAGAAAAGAGTTAAAGAAGATTCCAAGATTTTTGACCTGAGCAACTGGAAAGAATGAGTTACCATTAACTGAGATGGACAGCGTTTTAAAAAAAGATTAGGGAAGTTCAGTTTTGGAAATAGAAATCCAGGTAGAAATGTTAAATACACAGTTAGTTATATGGGTCTAACATTCAGAGGAAGGATCCTAAAGATATAAATTTTGGGGTTGTCAGCACATAGATATCTGACATCTCTTCCTCCTGTGCTCAACCACAAGTAAGCCAGTGCTTAAATCCTATTTCTTTCTGAAAAGTCTGTTTTTCCTTGGATTTCAGGCTAATTGGTTGCCCTGCAACCTCAGCTTTTGATGAGTTCAAGAAAAGTTATAATTTTTAGAAAGTGAGTATATAGAAAATGTTTCTCACTAGGTCGCTGTATTTAGGTTTGTGCCTTATTGCAAAAGCTATCATGTTTGCATATAAAAATGGAATATGGGCTGGGTGCGGTGGCTCACGCCTATAATCCCAACACTTTGGGAAGCCCAGGAAGGTGGATCATGAGGTCAGGAGATCAAGACCATCCTGGCCAACATGGTGAAACCCCGTCTCTACTAAAAATACAAAAATTAGCTGGGTGTGGTGGCACACGCCTGTAGTCCCAGCTACTCGGGAGGCTGAAGCAGGAGAATCACTTGAACTCTGGAGGTGGAGGTTGCAGTGAGCCGAGCACACCACTGCACTCCAGCCTGGGTGACCAAGTGAGACTCTGTCTGGAAAAAACAAAAAAGGAATATGTATTTCTAGAGAAAATATCCAAGAAGAAACTAGTAACTTCTTTTTTATATAGGAAAGAATAGATAGTGATTGCTTATTTTAAGGTGTTTGGGCTTTTTTTTTGTTTGTAGGAAAACCATCCCCTTGGTTATCCGTTGATACTGCCTTGTATATTCTCAAGGAAAATGAGAGTCAAGCAAATCTACAGCTTGTGTGTTTTACCGAACTACGAAATAGAGAAGTATACATATTTATTTTCTAATGTTTAATTTTAAAATATAGTATGAACTGCAGTTTGGGGAAAGTATGTTTCTACATTTTATTTTTTAAGCTTTTATATACCTTCCAATTAAGGTATAAACAGCACTTAAACACTACAGATATTATGTTTTTAATTTAATCACATCAAATTAAATTAAATTAGTTAAAGTAAATATTTAATTTAATTATAAAGAATTTTTTCTTGTTTGCTGCGATTTCTTAAGAATTAAGGATAGGAGCTGGGCATGGTGGCATGCACCTGAAGTCCCTGCTACTTGGGAAACTGAAGCAGGAGGATTACTTGAGCCCAGGAGTTCAAAGCTATATTATTCTATGATTGTGCCTGTGAATAGCCACTGCACTTCAGCCTGGGCAACATAACAAGACCCTGTCTCTAAAAAAAAAAATTAAATAAAGAATTGAGGATTGGTTGGCAAGTTTGAGTCTTGGCTTATACCTTTTAAGTTGTATAATATTGTACCTTACTTTCATCTTTTCTAAACGCCCTGATGCCTCACATGTGAACATTTGATATACTCAATAAAAAAAGTTGATGCCAGTACATTTTTTTCCCTAAATGCAAGCAATTCAAGACTTTGGAAAAGTTGCTGTAGATGTTTGTCTTACTTATATTACTACTGCAAAACAGAAAAACTTTAAGATTACTATCAGGCTTGACTTATTTTATAGGGTTCAAAAATAGATTGATATGAAAAAATGCTTTTAAATGTTTTTATATGTTGCCCATGGGGTTCTTCTGATCTTTTCTAATTATGTATTTACTCAAAGGCCAAATATGTGAGGCTGATACATAAATGTGGCTATTTATTTTATGAGGACTACAAAATACATCTGCTACACAACAACAGAAATAATACTATTCAAGGGCTTACTGCAATATCATATTTAATCTTTATATAGGCTCAATGACAGACAGACATTTCCCTGATAGAATGTTATATAAAAGTCTTTATTGTAGGCTTCCTAACAGATAAGAATAGGCAAGAAACAAATAAAATTGGCTGAAGTTAATGTTTTGAATAAACTCTTCTTCAGAACTGACTACAAAGTAAGCATTGTCTAAAAGAATATCTATTTCCACTTTGTTTTGGGTAAAATTACTTTCTTATGGGATTGCATGTATAAAAAAATTAGTATATAGCAAAACTATAATAAAGTTTGCATGAGTTTCTATTTACCTCTTTATAGGCGTCTGTTTATCTGTAATATGTTATATTTACAAAGGATTTTTTATTTGTATTTATACTTTCACAATTATTTTCTTATAGATGAGTTTTGTGCCCATGAAAAAACTTTCCATTTGCCATCCACAGTGGCAATGCAAAGTTATATGTGGGCATAAGGAAGGATCATGGGATAATATATATTAGGAAGCAGTGAGATCTGGTTTTTCACTCCTGAGTCCACATCTGGTCAATTTCAAAGGTTATGCTTTTGAAAGGATGGATTTGGTAAGCATTTAGTCTTTTTTTTTTTTAGACGGAGTCTCGCTCTGTCGCCAGGCTAGAGTGCAGTGGTGCAATCTTGGCTCACTGCAACCTCTGCCTCCTAGGTTCAAGCGATTCTCCTGCCTCAGCCTCCCAAGTAGCTGGGACTACAGGCACGTGCCACCATGCCCAGCTAATTTTTGTATTTTTAGTAAAGATGGGGTTTCACCATGTCGGTTGGCCAGGATGGTCTCGATCTCCTGACCTCATGATCCGCCTGCCTTGGCCTCCCAAAGTGCTGGGATTATAGGCTTGAGCCACCATCCCTGGCCAACATTTAGTCTTAAAAATGACTTTCAGTTATACTGGATTTCTTCTTGTATCAAAATAGGACATAAGAAGATTACGATTTCTCTGAGTTGGCAGGGCAGAAATAGAACTAAACTCAGAATTTAGATGAGCAGCTTTATTTTGTATATGAGTCTTCAGAATGACCTAAAATATACCTAAGTTGTTTTTTGTTTGTTTGTTTATTTATTTATTTAGAGATAGGGTCTCACTCTGTCACCCAGGCTGGAGTGCAGTGATACAGTTCCCTGTAACTTTGAACTCCTGGGTGAAAATGATCTTCCTGCCTTCGCATCTCAAGTAGCTAAGACTACAGATGTATTATTATTATTATTGTTGTTATTATTTTTAGAGATAGGATCTTGCTATGTTGTCCAGGCTGGTCTCCAATTCCTAGCTTCAAGCAATCTTTCCACCTTGGCTTCCCAAAGTGCTGGGATGATAGGTATGAGCCACCGTGTCTAGCCTTATACCTGGGTTTTAAAAGGAATTTTTGGACATAATACCTGAAAGGATTCTCTTGGGTTAGTCTGTGCTGAAGGGCACTTAGCTATTATACACAACTAAGAATTCCTTAGATTTAATATATTTAACAGAGACAGCTGCTAGCTTATAGGAAGCCTTTGGGCTCCAAAAAGCTCTTAGGAAGTACATAGACAGATACCATTTGCTTTCTTTCTTTCTTTCTTTTTTTTTTTTTGAGACAGAGTCGTGCGCTATTGAGTACAGTGGCACGATCTCGGCTCACTGCAACCTCCACTTCCGGGGTCAAGTGATTCTCCTGCCTCAGCCTCCGAAGTAACTGGGATTATAGACGCCCACCACCATGCCTGGCTAATTTTTGTATTTTTAATAGAGGCGAGGTTTCACCATGTTGCCCAGGCTGGTCTCAAACTCCTGACATCAAATGATCCACCCACCTCAGCCTCCCAAAGTGCTGGGATTACAGGTGTGAACCACCATGCCCAGCCTGCTTTCTTTTATAGAACTGGAGAATAAAATGTTTTCCTATACAGATGTTCTGGTACTCATGATAAATATCCAACATTTGATAGGAAACAGAATTTCATATAAAGCTGATTTATTTGGGATTCTGCATCTTTTTTTATAGTCCATATTACATTTAAAAAAGTAAAATTCCAGTGCTTTCATCCAAATAATTGAACTCTTACAAATGTGGTGAATTTATACAATAGTGAACCATTTCAAAATATATTTAATTTTTATTTTATGTCATTGAAATCTGATTTAGAAATCATATATTTATATTTGAATCAAATTAGGAAACCATAATCTAGAATATTATTACTTTTTTTTAAAGGAGCTCAGTGTTCACATTAAAAAATTACCCTATGATTTATCTTTGCTTTCTGTTGAGGGTATTTGCATCACAGATATTTTTGAAGATTATTGGGGAAGATTTAGAAGATAATATAACTTACCTGTTACAGTTTTAGGCATTTGTTTCAAAAATATATAAAGGACTACTATATCTAGTGATCTCATAATGAGATTACCATTAATAAAATGAATTTGAAACCTGTAAAAAGATTGATAGAACTATAATAGATTTTGTAAATATTGATTTAAAAATTATTTCTAATGTGTCCCTTTCAGAAGAAATATTAAAAGCTTTAAATTAAAAGATGAAAAGATTAAGACTGATGATTGTTTTGTTTCATTGTTTTGAGAAAAGGTGTTTGGATGGACTGGTGAACTAGGACCTGGAATTTACTGGTTAATTCCTTCCACAACTGGCTGTAGGCTGAGGAAAAAAATAAACCCAGTAACAGATGAAGCCCAACTTGTATACAGAGATGAAACAGGGAAATTATTCCTTACAAAGGAATTTAAGTAAGTTTTGTTTATTAATGTTAGAATTATAACATCTAGGCTGGATAGATATTAATAGCCTGTGTTACTCCCTTTCCTTTGGCCAGCTTCCACCCCTGTCCTCAGATTCTAATTCACCAATTCAACTCTTGTGACAAGCTGTATGAACTTGGAGGATGTTCTGCTGAGTTAAATAAGCCAGGCACAGAAGGCTAAATACTGTATGATCTCACTTATATGTGGGAGCTTTATTATTATTATTTTTAATAGAGACAGAGTTTTGCTGTGTTACCCAGGCTGGAGTACACTGGCACAATCATAGCTCACTGCAGCCTCAGACTCTGGGGCTCAGGTGATCCTCCCACCTCAGCCTCCTGAGTAGCAGTAGCTGGGATTACAGGTGCTTGCCAGCATGCCTGGCTAATTTTTTTTGAAGAGATGGGAGTCTTGCTATTATGTTGCCCAGGGTGGTCTCAAACTCCTCACCTCAAGCGAGCATCCTGCCTCAGCCTTTCAAAGTGCTGGTATTGTAGGTGTGAGCCACCACACCCAGCCTTATATGTGTGATCTTACAAAGTCAAACCCATAGAAACAGAGGGTAGAAGAGTGGTTATAGCAGCTGGGAGTGGTGGGGGGGTTGGGGACAGGTTGGTGAAAGGATACAAAATTTCAGTTTGATAAGAGGAATAAGTTCAGGAGATCTGCTGACAATATGGTGATTGTAGTTATATATTGTATCCTTGAAAATTGCTAAGAGAATAGATATTAAATGTTCCCGCTAGAAAAAAGGATGATAAATATGTAAGATAATGGATATGTTAATCAGCTTGATTTAGTCATTCCACAATGTATACATATATCAAAAAATCACATTGTACACCATAAATACATATATCAAAACAAAACAACTCATCCTCTGAGCATCTGAAAATGTTCCTCCATTTGCAGATCTGGGATTGTCATTTACTTCTGGGTTCCACACATTTGGCAAGTCAACTTCAGTCAAACATCTACCAATTTCTCCCTATAGGTAGTGAGGAAGAAGAAAGCAGATTGGAGAAAGGAAAAAAGAAGGGAACTACTACTATTCATTGAGTTCTTACTATGCACTGAGATACTGCGGTTGCTCTAGAAGCTTTTTTATCTCATCTAATACTGGACTGAGCCAAAACTGTATTTGGATACATTAACTTTAGTTTAAAGAAATTGTATAACATTCCTTTTGAATGTTATCCTCATAGAACCCTTCTTCAGTGTAGTTGCCTTAGTGACAAGAAATAACTAACTATTTTTATAATTTTAGGTCTACTTTATCAGATATATTTGAAGTAATTGATTTAGATGGAAATGGTCTTCTTAGCCTTGAAGAATATAATTTTTTTGAATTGAGAACAAGTGGTGAGAAATGTGATGAAGATGCTTGGGCTGTCTGCAGAGGTAAGCACTTTTCTTTTTCTTAACAGATGTATAAAAATATATATATATAGCACATTTTCATCTCTAAGAAATAAATCAAACTTCTCCATGATATTATAGCATTTAGGACAGTTTGAAAATAGTAGCATTGTTTGTAAATGCTAACATTTATTTTTCTTAAATTGGTAGTTGGTATAATACTCAACTTAAAAGAAAGTGTGAATTACTTAATCATAATTTCAGTTTTGAGCCTCTACTCTTTGGGGTTTAGAAGACAAAAAACTTGTCCTTGCGCTTGATACCACTGGGCCTGAAGTGGTCAAGAGCCACAAACTGTGACCAGGAGAGGGCAGCAAAAAGCCAAAAAGCTAGAGGTTTACTTACAAATTAAGGTTTCCAGGAAGTTGTTTATATCATACATGTTAAAAATTCTTCAATGCTTTTCGTATTTGAGTTGAACTTTAAAAGTCCATCTATGGAAATATTGAAGCCAAAATGCCAAGGTGGACAAAGAAAATCACTGAGAATGAGGCAAAGTCAGTTATCTTAGAAGGAGTCTGAGAAGACGTACTTGCGTATTTAAGCCAAAGACTGCAAGGTCAGAGGGAAAGCCAAAAAGCCATAGCCAACTATAGATCACAGAACAAGAGGTGTGAGGAGACCAGAATGCAGTCAAGAGAGATTAACTCACGTGTGCTTTCACTGGGATAGTAATGTGTGGATCTTAAAATGGTCTAAGCTTGGCAAAGTGAGCCAGGTTGGGAGTCTGTTTACCTAGACAGCAAGTAGGGTAGAAGTATATTATTTATATAAAGGAATCTTTCAGTATTTGTCTTTTAGCTGAAAGTTAATATAATCAACAACAATACATGTATATTGATTTATAATATTAAACTTTGATTAATAAAATTCATAATATACATGAGTATTATCTATAGGAAGATGTAATTATCTTGTAACTTTAACAATATAATCTTTTAATTGGCACTAGAGAACATTCTATAAGAGTGAATTTGTGGCTTTCTGATGGTAAAGTTGATGATAAGTAAAATTCTAATTTAAAAATTTAGTTAAATTGGCAGAGTTGACGGTTAACATTTTTTGAGAGCTTACCATCTACCATGTACCAGCTGCTGCTCTATGCACTTCTACACGCCAAGTCTATGAAGTAGTACTTTATTATTCTCACTTTATAAATCAGGAAATAGAATTAGAGGTTAAGTAACTTGACCAAGGCTACACAGCAAGAAAGTTTCACAAATAGGCTCCAGAACTTTGAACTCCATGCTATCGAAAAGTTTCCAAGAGTTACTGACTTAGAAAATGATTTGGAGGAATGTTTACTTTACAAACAATAATACTGCAAAGAAATGAGAGCTTTTAAGGTTTTAATGTTTCCCCTGAATAATAAGAAAATGTACTGTTTATCTGTAAGATTATTTTAATAAACTTTTTTTATACTTAAAGATGCTTTTATTTTATTTTGTTTATTAATAAACTTTATTTTTAGAGCAATTTTAGGTTTACAGAAAAACATAGGCTGGGTGCTGTGTCTCATGCTTATAATCCTAGCACTCTGGAAGGCTAAGGTGGGAGGATTACTTGAGGCCAGGATTTCAAGACCAGCCTGGACAACAGAACATATTGTCTCTTAAAAAAAAAAACAAAAAACATTGGCCTGTAATCCCAGGATTTTTTGAGTCTGGGGTGGGTGGATCACTTGAGGTCAGTAGTTCAAGACCAGCTTGGCCAACATGGTGAAACCCCACCTGTACTAAAAATACAAAAATTATCCAAGTGTGGTGGCAGGTACCTGTAATCCCAGCTACTTGGGAGGCTGAGGCAGGAGAATCACTTGAGCTTGGGAGGTGAAGGTTGTAGTGAGCCGATATCATGCCACTGCACTCCAGCCTGGGTGACAGAGTGAGACTCTGTCTCAAAAAAAAAAAAAAAAAAAAGAAATATATCCATATATTCCTCCTCACCCTCACCCACAAGTTTTCCCTATTATTCACATCTTGCATTTGTATGGTACCTTTGTTACAATTGATGAGTGAATATTGATACATAATTATTAACTAAAGTTCATAGTTTACATTAGGTTCACGCTTTTTGTTTGTTTAAGATAGAGTTGCTCTGTTAGCCAGGATGGAGTGCAGTGGTACGATCTCGACTCACGGCAACCCCTGCCTCCGGGCTCAAGTGATCCTCTCACGTTAGCCTCCTGAGTAGCTAGGACTACAGGTGTGTGCCACCACACCCAGCTAATTTTTGTAATTTTTTGTTGAGATGAGTTTCACCATGTTGCCCAGGCTGGTCTCAAACCCCTGGAGGGTTCACTCTTGTCTCGTACAGGTCTATGGATTTTGACAAATATATAACGTCATGTATCCACCATTACAATATCATACACAAAGGACTATCCTTTCTCCATTGAATTGCCTTTGCTCCTTTGTCAAAAATCAGTTGAATATATTTGTGTCAGTCTATTTCTGGGCTCTCTATTCTGTTCCATTGATGTATTCATCATTCTTTCACCATTACTACACTATCTTGATTACTGTAGCTTTATAGTAAGTCTTAGAGTCAAGTGTTAATAAATTTTTAAAAAATTAATGTGGATTGAGAATTTTAAGTTTTAAAAGGTAGATTAGTTTTTGATAGTCTCTATAGTACAGTATCTAGATATGTTTTTTAATGTATTTATATTATATATCAAATAATCTTTTTCATCTTTTTCATCTTGCTTTTCATCTAGCTCTAACCTTGATTTTTGTGTTACTGTTTCTCTTCACGATTGAATTTAATCTGCATTTATTTTTTTCCCCTTAAAAAACATGAATAACTTTCAACTCTAAACTTTTTTTTTTTTTTTTTTTGAGACAGAGTCTCGCTCTGTCATCTAGGCTGTAGTACAGTGGCACAGTCTCAGCTTACTGCAACCTCCGCCTTCCGGGCTCAAGTGATTCTCTGCCTTAGCCTCCCGAGCAGCTGAGACTACAGGTGTGTGCCAGCATGCTGGGCTAATTTAATTTTTTGTATTTTTAGTAGAGACAGGGTTTTGCCATGTTGGCCAGGCTGGTCTCGAACTCCTGAGCTCAGGCGATCCACCTGCCTCGGCCTCCCAAAGTGCTGGAATTACAGGCATGAGTCACTGCGCCCGGCTTCTAAATGTTTTAAGCTATTAAATCAGTCAGCCAGTTTTAGACAGTTATGTCTCTGCTGCTTTTCTCACAATAATGCATACAAAAGAGATGCTATCTCAAATAAAAGTACCCATTTCCCTTGGGTATATTATAGATGGGAGTTGGGAAATAAAATCTTCCCTGTTGTAGGATAGCTAATAAAATATCCATAATAAATAACTACTTATTATCCATCTTACAGACAAATTCAGGAATTATACATGTCTAGATACTTCTAGGTAAATTTAGTTTTGTTCGTAATTAGTGTTAAAATGGGCATAGACTTACCTGGGAAAATGTGGTTGATTCATGGATTCCAAAGTGCTCCCCATTATCTATCTGTCTTTCAAGACTCAGGGACAATTTAGCTAAAATTAGAGGAATCAGGCATATAGTAATCTTAAATATGACACTATTTATATCTTTATTTCTGAAACCCTAGTAGTTTGGGGAGTATTATATCAAATTCATCCAGTTTCTGCTGACTTTAAGTGGCAAATACATATGAAGCATTTTATATAACAATGTATGCTCTAAATAGGCAGGCAGATTGGAATTTATCCAGAAATATTACAGTTTCCTCTAATTTTAGAATATATTTGCTCTATTTATAATTTCAGGATTTGTTGAAAAACGAAATTGTGTACTATGATGTATCTATGCTGAGTTATGTTTTGAGCCATTTTTATTCCACTTCTATACTGCTCATAGATTCATAGGCCTCTTTTAAAATAAATATCTATGAATAATAATATATCATAGACATTTTATTAAAGTTATGAATTTTTAAATTATGTAAGAAAAAACTTTTGCTTGTTTAAACAGATAATTTTGATACAAAGAGGAATGAACTAACAAGACAAGGATTTATGGATTTGAATCTAATGGAAGCTAATGATCGAGAGGGAGATCCTTGTGACCTTTGGGTAACTCTACACTCTATGGGCTACAATAAAGCTCTGGAGTTGACAGAGGTAAAGTATTCTTAAAGTTTTGCCAGTGGGTTTAGTGTACATAATATTTTACTTTATGAACATTTTCCTGACATATAACTTTTGAATTGGGCACCCACATCTTTGAACTTTAGTATATGAATGAATCCTGGGTGCAACAACATGTTTCTGTTACTTTATACAAGTTCTTGTTCTCACCTGAAATTTAGTTACTGCCAACATTAAAATAATTCAAAGACAAAAGAGTTTAAACACATAATATGCAAGAAAAAAATTTGATATTAAAAAAATTAAAATTGGAAAAGGCAATTTGAGTTACTAAAGTCTCATTTATATAGGGAAACAATTTGTCTTAACAGTGTAAAGTATCTCTTAGAATAAGGAGAATGTATCTGTATTACACCTTGGATTTCTGACCTTTTATAAAGGGTACTTTTGGGGTTAATATTTGTAAAATACTTGGAACAGTGGCTGGCTCATACAAAGCACTGTGTATGTATCAGCTATCATCATCATTATTATCATTAACATGATAGGTATAGAAGTTGAATAGGACTCATAATAAATCATGGGGTAATAAAAATTTAAAAATTAGGTCTTCGTTAAATTATATATATATATATTTTCTTTCATGCAACAAATATTTATTGAACATATATATATTTTTAAATTTGAGACAAGGTCTTACTCTGTCACCCTAGCCGGAGTATAGTGGCACAATCATAGCTCACTGCAGCATCGACCTCCTGGGCTCAAGTGAGCCTCCTGCCTCAGCCTTCTGAGTAGTTAGGACTACAGGTGCATGCCCCCATGCCCAGCTAATTTTTTAACTTTTTTTTTTTTTTGTAGAGATGGGGATCTCACTGTTTTACCCAGGCTAATTTCTATATTTATATGTCAGATTTAAAATATAGAATTTAAGAGTTTCCATTTCAGGCCACAAGTTAGATAACAATACATTTGTTTATACTCTTAAAATTAAAAATAGTGTTTGTCCTTTTTCCGTACTTTAATCAACTTAGGAGAGCAATACTAACTTTGACAAATTTTGTTTTAGATACATTTAGACTTTGGTTTCATTTCTAGTTTTGACATCATTCAAGACCTTCATTAACCTGCTTTCTGAGAGGTTCTCTATTGTTTTCCCACTTTTAGAAATAGGAGGTGAATAGTTACAGTAACTATTTATATCCTACTTTAGCCTAACAGTCAATGACTCCCACATTTTTACCATATGTAAAATCAGTATCTAATCTATGAACAATATTGATTGTGCTACCCATGTTGTTGTTTAATAGGAAAATTAGTTAAGAGCAATTTAACACTTTTTACTGCAGTTACTGATGTCATTTACCTTTGAAACTATAAGCAAGAAGGATTTCTGAGCTAACATTTAATTTAATTTAAATTTTATTTATTTATTGAGTAGATAATATATTTGTATCATTTAAATTCAAAAGGTAAAAAAAAAAATACAGTATACATTGGAAAGTATCAACAGATGATGATCAGACTGCCACTCAGGAACTGAAATAAAAAGACAAAGCTGAATTTATTGCTTACTATAAAGGAGAGCTATGCTGGCCAGGCACAGTCTCTCCACTAAGAGCAGAATGCTCACTTATATAGGGTTTGGGGGAAGCATGGAATTCAAGGATTGCCTGGCTTTTAGAGGCGTAAATGAGTTAATAGTATCTGTGGAAGCATGGTTACTTGGATGAGACTGTTGATTAGTTGGCACTCAGCAGTGTATTTACGCATGTGAATCCATCTCTGATTGCCTGACTTTCAAAAGTGAGGAGCTGATACTGGTTGCCTAACATAAGTATGTTAATTGAAGTAGAGCTGTTCCTGATCAGTTGAACAGATTGAAAACCTTTTTTCTTACTAAATTTCTTTATTGTTTCTCATTAAATTCTTATTACTTATTTCTTTATTTTTCCTTATTAAATTCTCTAATTTAGGCTGTAGAATTACAGATTACACATTCACTGTATCAGCCTATGAAGATCCTCTGTTAAAGAGCAATATAACTTCTTTATAAAGGGCATTGCCTCTTTATCACTGTAACTGAATAGTTGCTCTTTTACTGAATTTGATAGGTAAAACTTACATGTTTAGTTTTGCCCCTTTTTTTTTCTTTTCTGTTTTCCTTTTTAAAATAGAATTTCATGATATTAATTTCTTTCTAGATTCAGAACTGGGAGAATTTACTTTCTTTTTTAAAGTTTAAGCACTACATGACTTTCTATTTCCCTTTCGTATGGGTTAACAGGTAGTTGAGAGCTAAATATTGTGCTAAATTTAAGTAGCATCCCATAATCTAGGTTTTATTATTACAGTCTTCCCCATCTTCCTTATCACATATATTGTTAATAGTTTTACAATGAATAATTTACAGTTAATAGTTTTCTTGCTTGTTGTTTGCTTCCTATATTAAGTTAGTGGGATAAAGAAAATAAGTAAATAAAACACCAAGCCCATGAAAAGAAAAATAATAAAACTATAGGGCAACTGTTTTAGAGGTGATAAGATTTTAATTTAAAAATTTTAGAATGTGCAAAAATCACTAGTATTCCTATATACCCACAATAGTCAGGTTGAGAGCCAAATCACGAAAGAACTCCCATTCACAATTGCCACAAAAAGAATAAAACACCTAGGAGTACAGTGAACAAGGGGGGCCAGCAATCTCTACAAGGAGAACTACAAACTACTACTCAAAGAAATCAGAGATGACACAAACAAATGGAAAAATATTCGATGCTCATAGATAGGAAGAATCAATATCATTAAAATGGCCATACTGCCCAAAGCAATTTATAGATTCAATGATATTCCCACGAAACTACCATTGGCATTCTTTACAGAACTAGAAAAAAATATTTTAAAATTCATATGGAACCAAAAAAGAGCCTGAATAGCCAAGGCAATCCTAAGCAAAAAGAACAAAGCTGGAGGCATCACACTACCTAATTTCAAACTATACTACAGGGCTACAGTAACCAAAACAGCATACTACAGGGCTACAGTACTACAGGGCTACAGTAACCAAAACTGGTACAAGAACAAACATATAGACCAATGGAACAGAATAGAACATTCAGAAATAAGACTGCACACCTACACCTGTTTGATCTTTGACAAACCTGACAAAAGCAAACAATGGGGAAAGGATTCTCTGTTCAATAAATGGTGCTGAGATAACTGGCTAGCCATATGCAGAAGATAGAAACTGGACCCTTTTCTTACACCATATACAAAAGTTAACTCAAGATGGATTAAAGACTGAAATGTAAAATCCAAAAGTGTAAAAACTCTGGGAGACAACCTAGGCAATACCATTCAAGACATAGCCATGGGGAAAGATTTCATGGTGAAGATGCCATAAGCAATTGCAACAAAAGCAAAAATTGACAAATGGGATCTAATTAAATTAAAGAGCTGTGCAGCAAAAGAAACTATCAACAGAGTAAATAGACAACCTACAGAATGGGAGAAAATTTTTGCAAACTATGCATCTGACAAAGGTCTAATATCCAATATCTATAAAGAACTTCAACAAATTTACAAGAAAAAAAATTCCATTAAAAAGTGAGCAAATGAACAGACACTTCAAACGAAGATATACATGCAGCCAACAATCGTATGAAAAAAAGTTCGACATCACTGATCATTAGAGAAATGCAAATCAAAACCACAATGAAATACCATTTCACACCAGTCCGAATGGCCATTATTAAAAAGTCAAAAAACAAAAGGTGCTGGTGAGATTGTGGAGAAAAAGGAATGCTTATACACTGTTGGTGCGAGTGTACATGAGTTCAACCATTGTGGAAGACAGTGTGGTGATTCCTCAAAGACCTAAAGACAAATATTTAACCCAGCAATCCTATTACTGGATATACACCTAAAGGAATGTAAATTGTTTTATAAAGACACATACACATGTATGTTCATTGCAGCACTATTCACAATAGCAAAGACATGGAATTAACCTAAATGCCCATCAGTGGAAAACAGGATAAAGAAAATGTGGTAAATATACACCATGGGATACTATGCAGCCATAAAAAAGAATGAGGTCATGTCCTTTGCGGGGACATGGATGGAGCTGGAAGCCATTATTCTTAGCAGACTAATGCAGGAACTGAAAACCAAATGCGACATGTTCTCATTTATAAGTGGGAGCTAAATAATGAGAACACATGGACACATACAGGGGAACAACGTACACTAGGGCCTATCAGAGGGTGAAGAGTACAAGGAGGGAGAGGATCAGGAAAAATAACGAATGGGTACTAGGCTTAATACCTGGGTGATGAAATAATCTGTACAACAAACTCCTATGACACATGTTTACCTGTGTAACAAATCTGCACATGTACCCCTGAACTTAAAAGTGTAAAAAAAAAAGAAAAAAAATTAGAGAATATGTTTTAACATGGACCTTTTAAGATGTTTTACTTTCAGTGAATATTCAAATATTGATCCTCTTTGGTTGAATAAAACTGATAGCCATGACTTAAAAATGGCAGAATATTACCAGAATTTACTAGTACTGAACAAATAAACCTTTAAAAATGTCATACTCATAATTATTGTAAATAATCTTTAAAAATTTTTACAGAGGTGATGTGTATGAAAAATCAACCCAGGTCTTCTTTTTAGTTCAATGATTTTTCATTCTACTATTTCTTTTAAAAAGGCAAATTTATTATTGCCAAAGGTTGAAGTTGATTAAAATATTTTTAAAAACAAAAATTTCTGTTTATGGTCTACTAAAATTAACTTCAGACTTCTTTCTTTTATTTCCTTAAAAGATGACCACCAATTTGTGAATTTATTCAGTTATTCAACAAATACTTATTGAATACCTACTATGTGATAACTGCAGGAAAGAGGCACTGAGGATACAAAGATGAATAAAATAGTCAAAGGTCCTGCCCTTATGAAATTTATATGCCACGGAGAATGATTAATTAATTAAAATTACATCGGCCAGGCGCAGTGGCTCACGCCTGTCATCCCAGCGCTTTGGGAGGCCGAGGCAGGTGGATCACCTGAGGTCAGGAGTTCAAGACCAGCCTGGCCAACATGGTGAAACCTTGTCTCTACTAAAAATACAAAAATTAGCCGGATGTGGTGGCGGGCACCTGTAATCCCAGCTACTCGGGAGGCTGAGGCAGGAGAATCACTTGAACCCAGGAGGCAGAAGTTGCAGTGAGCCAGGACCACACCACTGCACTGCAGCCTGGGCGACAAGAACAAAACTTCATCTCAAAAAAAAAAAAAAATTTCCAAGGTGTTCTGAAACAGCTCAAAGGCTGAAGTAGAGAACAGAAAACAGTGGGGGAGTGAGGGAGATTGAAGTGGCCAGAGCAGATCCCTCTGCGGAGGTGGCACTTAAGCTTTAACCTGAAGTGGGAGGACAAGGTACCCATGTGAAAATGCATGAGGATAATCTTCCAAGTGGAGAGAACACTATGTATGAAGGGCTTCATTTGCTCTAGGATCTGAAAGATCAGGATACCTGATGCATAGAGACACAGGAGACCAGGTTGGATGGAGAGGCAAAGGCTCTTTATCACATTGGCTTCTTACCACATTGTAGGCTGTGGTAAAAAGACTAAGGTAGATAGATGTTAGAAAAATTTCATTCCGAATGCAGAAAATATTTTTAGGTCTCATATTTTAAAGGTGTTTTTAGAGTAAACTTTAGTCAGTGCTCTGTGTCCATGCAGTAAGCTTCGATTGTAAATGTAATAATTTCTTTAGAACTGTTTGATGAATTCTTTCTGTAGCCCTCACCTTAGAAAAGATAATTAAATAACATGGTATTTGTTAGCATTGAACCAAATGGAGAGATGGTATTATGGCTTAAAGAAGGTAATGTATTACTGGTTTGCTAGAGGTTATTCTTTTCTTTTCTATGAACATTATCAGTTAATATTCTATTAAAAAGTCAGGATTTCATGCTTGCTTATTACTCAATTCATAGTACTAAAATTTTCCTCAAAGTATATTAGAAGGACAAGCTGGAAGGTGTAGCATATCTTCTTATATGGTAACATATTAATAATTTATTTAAAATTCTATCAAAAGGCTAAAACAAGATTTTTTTTTTTCCTATCAGGCATGTCCATTTGTCATTGATATCTATGCAGAAAAATGCAAGCCAAAAATTAAAGCTGTCCATATGGAGGCATGTAGTGGACAACTTGAGAAGGCCATTTGTAAATCTGTTCTTAGCAAGGGTGATGCCAAAGTAATGGATGGCTATGAAAATATAATCGTGCATACTTACAGTTGTGACACCTGGATAACGTCAGTTATTGAAAACAAGGTATCAATTATGAGGTGGTTTTCCTCATTTTGCTGTAAAGCTTACTAATAATTCCTTGCTCTATTCCTACGTGGTAATTAAGTATCCCATCACATTTATAATGTTTATAATGTATAATTATTTTTTCTTCTCAGGTTTCTAACTCAAACTGGGAGTGATAATTTTTATATGGCTTTTAAAGGTTTCTAATTTTTTTCTCTTAAAATATTAGGAAAATTAAACATTTGGGTATCAATGCGAATAGAGCACAATCTGGATACAAAGTATTTTATTTAGTTTGTTTCTAAACATTTTTACATATACATAACTATTTAAATAATAGATATCATGTTTTAAAGAAATATTATAAACAAAGAAAAAAATTTCAACCCAGCTTTTTACACTAACATTGCAGAGATCCTATAGATTATCATTATTTAATCTAACTAAATGTATTCTACTGTCCAATACCTACTTTCATCAAGCTGATTATTTCTACCTTTGGCTCTCTTCCCTGCTATTAATACTATTGATATTACAGGTCAAGAGAATAAGAGCATAAATTCTTAGTCAGAAATATCCAGTTCTCTAGAAATTATAAATTTTCATAAAACTTTATATAAGATGGCTAGGTGCTCAGTACTGTTGACTTATTTCTTTTAGGTGCTAGGTGAGCCATATTTTTATGCCTGCCATAAATTTCTTAAAATACTTAAAATTTGGTGGCATTTTTAGTCAACCTGAGAATATATTATGTAACTATTTTAGTCACAGTAGGAGCTACCAGAAAATGTAAAATTTGATCTCTGTGCTCAAGGAGTTTATGGCCTATAATTGGAAAGACAAAATTAATACTCTCGAAAGACATCAGAGAATAATTAAACGTTACATAATGTAATACTGTTTGTGTGTGTGACAGGAGTTTCATTCTGTTTCTCTTGTAGTTGTTAATTTGAACCATAGAAGTTGGGGAAGGATTTGTTATGAGGGGGAAGGGAACTGTGATATGGGATTCGAGCATTGAAGGATACTAGGATTTAGATATGCAGACAGACAGCCTTTAGAAGCAGGGGAAACAGTGTAAGGAGAAACAAGGGGAAGGGTATATATGAAGTATAAAGGAAAGAGTGAGAATATCTGCTTTGCAGAAATGGACAGCTTTATTTGAAGGAGGATTAGGAGGTAAATAACATACAGAATGGATCCAAATTATATATGTTATCTTGAAAACGAGATAGAGGAGTTTAGACTTGATTAACTAAGCTTGGGTCCCCACCTAGTAGATTGCAGTTTTCAAATGGACCAATCGTGCCTCAGAGGGTGATTCCTAGAATCCATCATGGTTCCCTTTCTGCCCTCTATATTTTATTAGGGTTAAAAAGGTGAAGGGAGTCACACTACCTTACCCCAACTCCTCTGTTCTGCTATCAACTATTAGTTCTCAATTCTCTGCCTCTGTTTTCCTCAAGGAAAATTCAACTCTCTTCACCAAAATGTGATAATAATGCTAACATTTTACACCTTATTGTGTGCCAGGCATTTACTTCTCACAACAACCCTATGAGATAAGTGCTATTCTCATTTTACAAACAGGAAACTGAAGCACAGAGCAGTTAAATAACTGGCAAATGATTACACAGCTAAGTAGTAGAAGACTTGAGAAGTAAATTCAGATAGTCTAACATTATACTACCCCCTTAGTAGTCATTAGGGTATGATCGCAGATTCTTACTAGGGGAATAGTTTGATTCCTGCATATTTCCCATTTATCAGCGTCATTCTGCTTTCCCTTGTTCCCTGTCCATCCTAGAGGCCATTGTCTATTATCTCAGTTATCACTTCTTCCAAAAAGTCTTCCTTGAAACCCCAGTCCAAGCTAATGTTCATCTTCTGTGTTTCTATAGATCCTTCTAAATTCCTCTATTACAAGACTCAGCAGTGTTCTGTAATTGTCATTTTATTTGTCTGTCTCCCCTAGGGTGTGAGCTAGGAGTCAGTAATTCTATCTTTTATCTCAGTGCACCTAGACTCTAAAACAATGCCCGATACAAAGTTGATAATAAATATATTTATATATTGTGAATGAAGGAGTAAAAAGATGTTTTAGACACATTAGTTGGAAGGTAGTATTAAAATGAATGGAAGTTGAAAAAACTAGAGATAACAACAAAAGAAACAGACTATTGCTATCCTAAGTCAAGGATGAAATAATGTGACCCTAGTATCCATAATACCCTGGGAATGAAGATTAAAAGGTGAGTAAATTTAAGTCACATTTAAAAGAAAAAGTTTATATAAATGGTGACAAATTGGAAAGAAAATGAGAAAAAGTAATAGAAACAAAGTTGAAAGAAGCAGCCAAATTGTATAAATTTGTAGTGCACTATATGATGTTAAAACAGAATTTCAGGGTTTATTCTGAGGCTTATATTTGTCTGTAATTAAAGAAAGGACTAGCAACTTATGAAACTCTTTTTTTATAGTCAGATGAGAAAGTGATTATTCACATCAACAATGAGCTAAGTAAAAACTGCGTAAACAACAGAGGACTCAACATATTTGCAGTAGAAGTGGGACCCAAATCTACAATGGTAATGTATTATTTTCTAATTAAAGCCTTTTGTTTTATGTCTTTGAAAAAAATTTCCTATTAATGCTATGAGTAAACATGTAGATACAAAATGGAGTGGAAAATTATTTTAAGTATATTTGTATCAGTATCATTCTACACTCAGAGACAGGAGACTTTGGTTCTAATCCAGTTCTGTCACTGTTTGTTTGAGTGACTATGGGAAGTTCATTTACTTCTATGTTCCAGTCTCTTTAAATGTAAAATTAAGATAATATCACTAGGCTGGACGCAGTGGCTCACGCCTGTAATCCCAGCACTTTGGGAGGCCGAGGCGGCTGGATCACCTGAGGTCAGGAGTTCGTGACCTGGCCAACATGGTGAAACCCCGTCTCTACAAAAATACAAAAATTAGCCAGGCGTGGTGGCAGACGCCTGTAATCCCAGCTACTCAGGAGGCTGAGGCAGGAGAATCGCTTGAACCTGGGAGATGGAGGTTGCAGTGAGCCGAGATCACGCCATCGCACTCCAGCCTGGGCGACAAGAGTAAGACTCCGTCTCAAAAAAAAAAAAAAGATAATTTACTAGTTTTATGTACTTCACAAAGTTAATGTAAAGATTAAAATGATGTACATGAAAGTAGTTTTTTACATCATATAGAAATGTAAAGTATTAATAAGAATTTTGATAACCCAAAATGCTTTTTATCTGCATTATTAAGATTTTCTAAAGTATCCTGAGAAGGAAAATGCCTCTGAGTTTTAGATAAGTAAGTAAGTCAAGAGCTAGAAAACAGCTATAGTTCCAGTGTTAGCAGAACTCTGGGTTTCTGATTTAGCCAGGAGTTCAAAGGCAGGGACAGATCAATAGAGCTACCTACTGGGCAAGTGAAGGGAGAAAGGAAAAAGCTTCCTATTCTTACCCTTTCTATTTCCATACTGTCCATTAAATCCTAAAATATTCCGGAACAGGATAAAGAGATTATCTTTTCTGTTTCTCCAATTAAGATTTTAGAAAATGCTCTAGGCTTAGCAAGGAAAGGATATTTTCTCCTCTTTCTACCACTCTACCCACATTCACACACACCAACTGACAGCTACTATATTAGGGTAGAATTTAGACTGGGTTATCCTGTTAGACCTCAGATCATAGATTGCTAGTCTCTGCTAAGGACAAATATTGTAGAATTTTATCTGTACAGGGATATTCTCATACAAGGCCTAGAAACGTTGTCCTATTTAAAAATTAGCCAAAAATAACAATATATAAAAAGAGAATAAAAGCTTTCTATTTTTATATGCAGGTTTGTCAACATGTAATGCCTCTGAATGAACGACAAGAATGGATATATTATTGTATATATTCTCTTATTTCTTAAATAATTATACTTAGAACTTACCAAACTAAGAATTATTTCAGATTTAGCCTGTTATTTATTAAACACTAAATGCTACTTAATTTAACTGATGTACCTAAATAATAATCTATTCAATTTATATGCATTTTCATTTTATGTCAATGCTATGTACCTTATTATTAAAATATACGTAATGCTTTCATTGTGTAGTGTTCTTATTTAGTAGGAAATCTAAGCACATTTTATTTTTGAATAGTTAAGTCAATAAAATTACGGGTAAGATTTTTTAAAGTAGTATTCAACACATTCGGCAAAATCCTCTATACTTTAGGTTTTTGTACTCTTAAAAACAAAACAAAACAAAACAAAAACTGGCCAGGTGTGGTGGCTGATGCCTGTAATACCAGCACTTTATGAGGCTGAGGCAGGAGGATTACTTGAGTCCAAGAGTTTGAGTCTGCAGTGAGCTATTGTCATACCACTGCACTCAAGCATGTCTCTAAAAAAGATAAATAAATAAAAGGTAAATACAAAGTAGCCATTTAGTTTTCCTATCACACAAAAGAAATTAAAGCAAAATTTGGAAAAATTTATTTTTATGTAAAGAAGCCAAAATCTAATGACAATAGTAGGAATATTTTGTTCTAATAGTAAACTTTCATGAATTTATTTGTGGATTGCTTTTAATTAAATATATTATGAAATAATAGGAATTAAATTTATGTTACATTTAATAAAGAAGTACAGGGTACGAACAATTATATTAAACAATTCATAACTGTATGACAATATCAGTAACAGAATACGTGCCAGTAAATTTCAGCTTTTGAAATATCAATACCATTATGGCAGTATATTATTTTTGTACCCAGTACATATTAGCACATAGTTTAGATGTCATTTGGGTTTTTAACCCTTGATTTAGCTATCCATAAAATGGGTTATCATCTAGCAGTTTGAATTCTTCAGATGATGTGTCTTTAAAAGTAATGAAATGTGAAAACATTTTATTAATTGCTAAATGCCTTGTAAGTCTAATAAATGTGATCATATATTCTATTTCACAACGTATTGAGTTACAAGAAATTAATTACCTGGCTGTGATACTAAAAGCATACAATGAAATTGTTATCTATGTCCCAAATTGTAAAGGAGTTTTTATAATAGGACGACAGGTGACATATAGTGGTATACCGGATCATAAAAACTCAAGAAAAGGAATAATGAGCATTTAAGACTTACCTTCCACCACTGTCATCACTTAGACGTATCAGGCCTTTTCCCCACCTTTTCATTACTCACTTATTACAGGGAAAAAACAAACATACTGTCTTAATCATTCTATTTTCAACTAGTCACTAGAAAAGACAAAGATATTTTGTTTCAAATTAAACTTTCTTCCAAGTAAATGAAAACCCAAGGGAATCAGCTATATAATGAATACAAACTAGGTTACATTTTTTTTTTTTTTTGTATCTTTAAGTAAATTACTTTTTGAAGATTACTTGAGCACTGTGGTACTAGAATATCCAGAAAAACTTAATTCAAGTCCTCAAATACTTGACTCATAGGTTGGTAGTAATTCTGTAACCCCCCAAATATAATTGATTGACATGTAAGAATGTTTTCTTTAAGTTTGTGTGGTGCTTCCTTTTTTCAGGGCAGTTTTGCACAGATTGACCATGTTATTTTCAAAGGTAATTTTGCATATGGTTTAATTTTAAAAGCACATGATCCAGCCCTACTAAAAAGACATCTAGATGGGCTGGGCATGGTGGCTTCTGCCTATAATCCCAGCACTTTGGGAGACTGAGGCCAGAGGATTGCTTTAACCTAGGAGTTTTTGGGACCAGCCTGAGCAACATGGCAAAACCCTGTCTTTACAAAAAATACAAAAATTAGCCAGGAGTGGTGGTGCACACTTGTAGTTCCAGCTACCCAGGAGGCTGAGGTGGGAGGATCACTTGAGCCCGAGGCAGAGGTTGCAGTGGGCTGAGATTACACCACTGCACTCCAGCCTGGGTGACAGAGTGAGGCTCTCTCAAAGAAAAAAAAGACATCTAGATGTGTCAGATCTCTTCTGTGTTCCAGATTCCATCCCTGCCTGTCTCCTCAGTGTGCCCATTAAAACTCCCCAGGGAACGAATTTTATCTACAAACATTCCCTCAGTATTGGCTTTCCCCCATTATTATTTATACATATTTGAGACTCTTTAAGAAGCCTCTCATTCCCCATCTCTTTCTATCATCTTATTTTTGTCCTCCCTGTCACAGCAAAGGGACATGAAAAGAATTGTTCACATTGTTATGCCCACTTTCTTGACTCCCACTCACTGTTTCCACTGAGTTACCAAACAGTGGTTGCTCCCTCCCAGGACATCAATAACTTTCTTGTTATTAAATCTGGAGGATATTATAAAGTCTCCCCTCCAGTGTTAGACATTGTTGATCTTTTGGAGACACCGCATTCTTCAGATTTTCTTTTCACCTTTGACTATTTTTTTTCACCCAAACTTCTATATTCTCTCAATTTCCACATCTCTCCTACCTTTGTATGTAACATTTCCTTTTTGCCTCCCTGTCCCCTCTTCTTCCTCCAGACATCAGTGAATATGTCACTCTTCCCAAAAATCCTTTCCTGATTACTCTCCGGACCAACTACTTTGATGGTACTAACACTTAGTACTCACCCTTTGGTGTAGCACTATCATATTTGAATTGGTGTTCATTTATCTGTACCTTTGACTAGGTTGAAAACAGAAGAGTTAAAACCTAGCATATACCATAGAAACTGTAATAGATATAAAATGAATATTGGAAAGATAGTTGGATAAAATGAGTAGAAAATTAAAATGAATGTACATGTATGAATATTTCCGAGTTCTTTAGCATATTTATAAATTAAAACTAGAAATATAAAAATTAAATCTCATTACTATTCAATTCTCTTTACCCAGATGTTTTTATTTCATTAGCAAATTAAAAAAAAATTATCTAACATGCAGTTTTAAGTTATAGACTTACATGATCACTGTAACTCCTTCCAACTTTAATGTTTTATAGTTCTAATATTTTAAAACAAATTTAAAGGTTAAGTATCAAGTACTGTTTTTTATATATATATATATATGAGCCATGCCATATTCTTATTTAGTAATTTTGTTGATTTTACATTAGATATTGGGGTAGAAATTTTTTTGAAAAAGTCAATGGCCTTCTTTTAAAATCTTTTTGATTTAGGTTAAATATGAAGCAGAAACTTAATGTATACTACACTAATATTTTGAATATAACCCAGGAAAATGGATGTGTATTTCCGATTTTGGCCACCAGAGGGTGAGCATATTATTTTATTTATTAGAGAGATGGATAGTATTATATTTCTCTGCACTGTGTTAGGTCCTTTATGACTTCTAAGACTACTTTTGGCAAACTGTATTGGCCACTATGGCTATATGCATATCCAGGCATATAACACCCATTTTTGTTGAGACAGAGTCTTGCTCTGTCACTCAGGCTGGACTGCAGTAGGTGCGATCTCAGCTCACTGCAGCCTTGATTTTCTGGGCTCAGGTGATTCTTCCACCTCAGCCTTCCCAGTAGCTGGTACTACAGGCCCGCGCTACCACGCCCAGCTGGGTTTTTTTTTTTGTTGTTGTTGTTGTTGTTGTAGTAGAGGCAGGGTTTTGCCATGTTGCCCAGGCTGCTCTAAAACTCCTGGGGTCAAGCAATTGGGTGCCTTGGCCTCTCAAAGTGCTGAGATTGATTACAGGCATGAGACACAGACCCCAGCCACCACTCATTCTTATTAGAGAACATATTCTAATCTATAACGTGGATACTAAGCCTTCTTCTCATTACTAATGAGTCTTCATGAGTTTGCAAGTTTCAAAAGTTTGCTAATTTCAAAATTAGCCCTGCTATCTTTACGTAGTCTTATAAAGCCTATCTTTGATGCTTAGCCCAGCTTAATTTCTGGGGGAAAAAAGAACTGTGTAATGATTTGAGGAAAAATAAAGCACATAGTGGACCTGATTTAGAGGATATAGATGAGATTCACGTGGTAAGGTAATGTGTGAGCCAGGAACTCCAGGAATCATTATTGAAAGTCTGAGGGGTAGGCCAGACACGGTGGCTCACGCCTGTCATCTCAGCACTTGGGAGGCCGAGGCTGGCAGATCACCTGAGGTCAGGAGTTCGAGACCAGCCTGGCCAACGTGGTGAAACTCTGTCTCTACTAAAAATATAAAAATTAGCTGGGCGTGGTGGCAGGCGCCTGTAATCCCAGCTACTTGGGAGACTGAGGCAGGAAAATCGCTTGAACCCTGGAGGCAGAGGTTGCAGTGAGCTGAGATCGCATCATTGCATTCCAGCCTGGGCGACAAGAGCGAGACCCTGTCTCAAAAACAACAACAACAACAACAAACAAAAAATAACAAAGTCTGAGGGGGGCAAAGAACTTTGGTTGGTTTTAAGTGTCTGTACTTGTTACCCATGGCTAGTACTATGTAAGGAAATGAATAAGATACCCTCAATTCTTATGAGTAATTCACAAGCTGCCTATATTTGTGATATTTGACCAAAGTCAGTTTGTACTTTAATAATAAGTACTCTTGGTCAGGCGAGGTGGCTCATGCCTGTAATCCCAGCACTTTGGGAGGCCGAGGTGGGTGGGTCACCTGAGGTCAGGAGTTCAAGACCAGCCTGGCCAACCTGGTGAAACCCCATCTCTACTAAAAATAAAATTAAAAAAAAATTAGCTGGGCGTGATGGCGGGCACCTGTAATAATCCCAGCCACTTGGGAGGCTGAGGCAGGAGAATCGCTTGAACCTGGGAGGCGGAGGTTGCAGTAAGCCAAGATCACCCCACTGCACTCCAGCCTGGGCAATAGAGCGAGACTCCATCTCTAATAATAATAATAATAATAATAATAATAATAATAATAATAAGTGCTCTTGACCGGGTGCCGTGGCTCATGCCTGTAATCCCAGCATTTCCAGAGGCAGAGGCAGACTGATCACAAGATCAGGAGTTCGAACCAGCCTGGCCAACATGGTGAAATCCCGTCTCTACTAAAAATACAAAAATCAGCCAGGCGTGGTGGTGCGCGTCTGTAGTTCCAACTACTTGGGAGGCTAAGGCAGGAGAGTTGTTTGAACCCAGGAGGCTGAGGCTGCGGTAAGCTGAGATCTGCCACTGAC